GTCCAAACTGAAAAAGATCCCAAAATAGTAAAAAGGGACATGTACTTTATATGTAACTTTTTCCTTACTATTATTTGATAAGATAACCTTCTTTATGTTATCTTGTTATAATCAAATAGGGGGAGATTGTTGATCCTCTCTCTCAGTGATTTGATGATAATCCCTTTTCTCTTTCACGTTGTATTTGTGTTTCTGTATTTACAGTTCCAACGATCTTCACTGAGTATTTTCAGTAATCGCTGAAGAACTTGCTTTGTAAATCTTTCAGAGACAACAATACTTCAAGAAGACAACACTCACACCAAAGAACCTTCAGCAAACGTCGAAGACTGAAACTGAAGATTAGAGACCGGCGAGTACGTGATCTGAAGCGATATTCATTGATTACAAGCCTGTCTATATATGTGTGAAGACTACTCTAGCTTCAACGAATGATGATGAGACCTTCAGGTCATTCCATCATTCAGCAATCAAAAGAAGCTTGCCTAGCACGATTGTTGTTGTCTTGTCCTTATGCACACAACCCATACCCTTACAAAAGTTAGTACGGTATGGAGCCGATTAGTCGACTCCTTGTCCACCAACTTTAGGTAAGGATGTCTGCTCAAAAATAGTGCTTTTATACTATTCACTGTAGCAAAGGACAAGCCTTCCTCTTAAGGTTTGACACGTACTCTAAACCTACCATATTGCATTAAGTGATCATTTAATGCACTGGGTATAAATAGAAGTGTATTGAAATGACTCTGAAGTAAACCCTTTTATACTTCAGAGATATGTCTAGAAAATTCAGAAGCTCCACATGCAGCATGTACATGCTCCGCATGCGACATGCAGATGTTCTACATGCAACATGCAGAAGCTCTGCATACGGCATGTAGAGGCTCTACATGTAACATGCAGAAGCTCTGCATGCAACATGTAGAAGCCTGGAGATAAATTAATCAAGAGGAAGAAGGATTCAGAATACTCCCTTCTCAATGTGTACTTCTAAGAAGAATGTTATCATTAAAAATTATGACTGCTATAACAACATAATTATGTACTTACGGAAAACTCTTTGATACTAAATGCAAAGCAAATAATAATTAAAATATATATCATAATGTAATCATCAACTGAAAAATAAATGTTTAAATAAAAATTCAATCACGACAGAAAAACCAAATTCGAGACTTATCTTACAAGTATTAGACTTAATTTGCCAGTACAACTAATTTTAATACAAGGCTTCTAGTCTTGAAATTATGCTGAAGAAAAACTCTTCATACTTAAAGCTCTGTACAGAAAGGCAGAATATCTGTATGCAACATCCAGAGGCCGTGTCATAAATCAATGAAGGCCTAGAAAGATACAGAGTAAAGGCCATCTGATCATTCACAGCCTTTTATTTAAAAGTCTTTAGGATAATTCACATACAAGAGGACCTTTGTACATAATACACTTAGCTCTTGAATAAGAGCTCTGTCTCTCCACGTGCTACGTAGAGCCTCTTATCCTGACTCCGAGCTTCATACAGAACTACATAGACTATCTGCATGTACCATGCAGCAAACCTGAAGTTGCTTCCATAATCAATGCAGACCTCTATAGAGGCTGTGCATGTTCAACGCAAAGCCTCTGTGTAAGTATGCTTTCTACATATTTGCGACTCTAAGTAACCATCTAATTTAACTCTGGAAAGAATATCAGACCTATGTTTGTGAAATAAGTATTTATTTAGAAGCTTTTGTGATCATCAAAATACGTGACGACATAGCACGTGCAGAACCTTTGTGAAGGTCTGTATGAAGAATGGAGTCTGGATCGACAGACACAAGGGTGAAGAAATTTCCTAGAGTTTAAGCCCGAGATGGTCCAGAGTTACAAGGCTGAAGTACACTTTCAGAGTCAGAGGCGGAGCCTCAAGGTAGGACATGAAGATACAGAGCTCTTTCTCAACTCTTAAGTGCAGAGCCTCTATGTGGCTCTGTATGATGCACAAAGGCAGGGTTAGAGTGACGAGCAGAAGCTTTGTCAAAGTCTGTATGAAGAAGGGGAGCCTCAACGTAGAACATGAAGAGACAGAGCTCTTCCTCAACACTTAAGTGCAGAGCCTCTGTGTAGCTCCGTATGAAGCACGAATGCAGGGTTAGAGTGACGACATAGCACGTGTAGAACCTCTGTGAAGGTCTGTATGAAGAACGAAGTGAGGCTTGACAGACACAAGGGTGAAGAAATTTCCAAGAGTTAAGACTCAGACGGTCCAAAGTTGCAAGTCTGAAGTCCACTTTCAGAGTAAGAGGCGGAGCCTCAATGTAGGACATGAAGAGACAGATTTCTTTCTCAACACTTAAGTGAAGAGCCTCTGTGTAGCTCTGTATGAAGCATGGAGGAAGGGACTGCATAGCACGTGCAGAACCTCTGTGAAGGTCTGTATGAAGATGGGGACCCTCAACGTAGAACATGAAGAGACATAGCTCTTTCTCAACACTTAAGTGCAAAGCCTCTATGTAGCTCTGTATGAAGTACGGAGGCAGGGTTAGAGTGATTACATAGCACGTGCATAACCTCTGTGAAGGTCTGTATGAAGAACGAAGTCAGGCTTCACAGCCACAAGGGTGAAGAAACTTCCCAGAGTTTAAACCCGAGACGGTCCAGAGTTACAAGTCTGAAGTACACTTTCAGTGTAAGAGGCAGAGCCTCAAGGTAGGACATGAAGAGACAGAGCTCTTTCTCAACATCTAAGTGCAGAGCCTCTGTGTAGCCCTGTATGAAGTATGGAAGTAGGGTTAGAGTGATGACGTAGCACGTGCAGGACCTCTGTCAAGGTCTGTATGAAGAAGGGGAGCCTCAACGTAGAAAATGAAGAGACAAAACTCTTTCTCAACACTTAAGTGCAGAGCCTCTGTGTAGTTCTGTATAAACCACATAGGCAGGGTTAGAGTAATGCCGTAGCACGTGCAGAACCTTTGTTAAGGTCTGTATGAAGAACGAAGTGAGGTTTGACAGACACAAGGGTGAATAAATTTCCCAGATTTAAGACTTAGACGGTCCAGAGTTACAAGTCTGAAGTCCACTTTCAGAGTAAAAGGCGGAGCCTCAACGTAGGGCATGAAGAGACAGAGCTCTTGGCATGAAGAGACAGAGCTCTTTCTCAACACTTAAGTGCAGAGCCTCTGTGTAGCTCCGTATGAACCACAGAGGCAGGGTTAGAGTGATGCCGTAGCATGTGCAGAACCTTTGTTAAGGTCTGTATGAAGAAGGGGAGCCTCAACGTAGCACATGAAGAGACAGAGCTCTTTCTCAACACTTAAGTGCAGTGCCTTTGTATTGCTCATGCAAATAAGTTTAATACTAAATCCAAAACAAATAATAATGAAAGCGTATAACATAGTACATTGACCAATTACAGATCATTGTACAAACCAAAATCCAATCACAAAAACAATACCAAATACGAGAGACAATGTAGCTGTACATTAGAACCACGAATATTACTTTTGAAGTTCAGAGTTTTAACATTTTTGTAGCCAATCTTTTTTCTTAAATTAAGAAAAAGGAAGAAAAACATAAGAAGTTCTCGATACTCCATCATAAGTTAAAAAGAAGGCCGACTCTTACTTGAATTAAAAACATAAGTCTAATTAAAGGCAGAAGTTAAAAAGAACCTCTGTTTTACATTAACTATTCAGAAAGTACAATATGATTGAAACGAAAGTACAATGCTTGAAAGTTAAAAAAATGCTAAGACAAGAAGGTCTAGATGCTTTGAAGCCTAATGAACCTCCTAAGAAGTTCTCGAAACTCCAACAGATTACAGATTGACCTTAGAATAATTTTGGCTCCTTCTCTTGCTCCAGGGGTGGTATCTCTGCTTCATATAAGATGATCTCTACGATAATTGACATAGAAGACGACTTTTGTACATAATACACTTAGCTCTTGAGTAAGAGCTCTGTCTCTCCACGTGCTACGCAGAACCTCTGATCCTAACTCTGTGCTTCATACAGAACTACACAGACTATCTGCATGTACCATGTAGCGCACCTGAAGTTGCTTCCATATTCAATGTAGACCTGTATAGAGACTCTGCATGTTCAACGCAGAGCCTTTATGTAATTAAGTTTCCTACAGATTTGCGACTCTGAGTAACCATCTAATTTAACCCTGGAAAAGGATATCAGACCTATGTTCATGAAATAAGTATTTATTTAGAAGCTTTTGTGATCATCGAAATACGTGACGACCTTTGTATATGATACACTTAACTGTTGAGTAAGAGCTCTGTCTCTGTGTAGACTTGCGAACCAAAGGTAAATCCAAAGAAAGCTCCTCTGGTGCAATACAATCTTTCGCCCGTGTCTGTACAACCTCTGGGTCCAAAAAAGGTAAATACTTAATACCAGAAATCCTCTTGTTAAGCATGAAGATGAATCACATCCCCTCTGATTCGTGTATTACGTATTGCAATTTTTTCAGAAGTTTCAAATAAACATCAACAGGCACAGATGGGGAAAAGAATGACCAAGCAAAGGAGTTATAAAGACTTACCTTCCCAGTCTTAGACTTAATTGGCAAGTGCAACTAATTTTAATACAAGGCTTCTAATCTTCAAAGTAGGCTGAAGAACAACTCTGCATACTTCATAGCTCTGTATAGTGAGTCTGAATATCTGCATGAAGTATACAGAGGCCGTGTAAAAATCAATGAAAGCCTAGAAGGATTTAGAGTAAAGCCCATCTGATTATGTACAACCTCTTATTCATCTGCCCAGAACCTCTTCGTCCAAAAGTAGTTAAATATTTACAACCAGATATAATTTTCATGAACATGAAAATCAAGCATTACAAAATTATGTAATGCAAATGAGTTTAATATCAGATCCAACACAAATAATAATGAAAGCATGTATCATAACATAATCAACAATGCAAAAATCATTGTCCAAACTAAAATTCAACTACCAACACAATACCAAATACGAGTTTCAATGTAATTGTTCATCAAAAGCAAGAATATTACTTTTCAACTTTAGGGATCTTTAATGTTTTTATAGCCGATCCTTTACCTTCCTGATTGGCATCAGACCAACTTTCAAAATGCTGCTTCCTATCAACTCCTTTCCCAAGCCTTATGTCATACAACTTCTCTTCTGATTCCAGACTGTCTGCAGTGCTCTTATCGACATCGGATGGTGTTGCATTCTCACCAGTAAATGAAACAACATCCTTCAAATAAAACAATAATTAGTTATGGCATTTGAAGAACTAGTTGCTTCCAGTTCAATTTACAAATTACATTGAAGATGGCATTTATAATACCTTTAACTTATCTTGAGAACTGAAATATGTTGAATGCAGATTTACTGATTCTGATTCAGCAGGCTGCAGAGTAAATTGTAAAATAATGTTAGACTAACAAAGATTTTAGACTACATTGGATCATATTTTCTGCAAATGATAATCAACACCTGTTGAGAAGTGCATCTCATCTCCAATTCATTCAAAATGGCATCATCATCTGTTAGCTTTGAAATGCAATAAATGAAACATCTGTTTTTAATATTGTAATCAGTTATCTCAATCTTTATTGCAAACCTCCGATCAAGCAAAACATCCAAGTCATCCGGAAACATATCTAAATCACCACTCTAACGAAAAAAAGAAACAACTTTTACATTAACAGGCATTTGGAGTCCAAAAAAGTAACTTACAAAAAAAGATAAGGCTTCTAATCATACCTCTTTAACTTTTTCAAACAACTCTGTTGCCATTTGATTCAAAACTTTATTAGCTTCTCGATCAAATAATTTCAATGATACAATTCCAGTATCATCTTGAACTCTCAAAGAAATTTTGAACCTATATGATTATTAAGTGAGCATTAATATGAGTGTGCAAAAGTTAATAAAAAGCATTGTTATGTAATTGTTACTTACTTTGGCAACACCTCTATTTTTTTACCTCTGCATCTGTCAGTTGTACAATCAAAAACTCTCTTATTTCATACCAGATCCATCATCCTTGTCGGTTATAGTGTACATGGGTCGAACCTTGCGGTTACACCTCGTGCAACCCATGTAAAACCAAGGGACATCTGTCCTAAATGCTTTCACTGTTCCTAATATAATTAGTGATTTCACCTGTATAAAGTACGATATGTTATGATAATATGCAATTACTGAATGTATAGACACAGTTTAAAAAAATAAGTACCTCAACAGTCTCACTAATTTCAACAATGTTTGCTCTACTGGTTTTGTCTAGAAAATCTTCACGATATGAATAAGACAATCCAGAGAGCATTGAAATATGTTGTGACGATTTAGATTCGCCACTTTCCGGAGTCAAACTATTGAATCGGAGTATAAGTAAACAACAATGTATATTAGCGAAATATAAGATATATAACAGAAATAAATAATAAATAAAAACTGCTGACCTTTTCTTAAAATCCTTGATTTCATCAATATCCGAATTGATGAACAACCTCGTACCATTGAATGAGTTAGAAAGAAATGGTCTTTCTGAAACAATCAAATGAAGCAAGTTAACACAACATTGCTTGAAAGAACTATATATGTTATGAATCAGACAAACCTCTGTAAATTTTGACCATTGCAAACTGAATAACAAGAATAACAATCCCGTTGTCCTTGTTAGTAGAAACATAATCATTCAATTCCTGAGCGAATGCATCCCACAATATCACTTGCATTTTAATCCCCCTAAATAAATTGTAAGAAAAGAATTATATAGTTTCAAAAGATTACTGCTAGTAAATTAAAGTAAAATACTTACTCCAACTCCTGCATCTCAACCTGCATCCTTCTTTTGGCTTTTCCATTATTATCTAGAAGAGTCACCATTGTCTCACAAGCAATAACTTCACCAATTACATCTATGTAATCATCAAAAAGTTAACATAACAACATCTAAACCTTCACAGTGAAGTCATCCTTCTGTATGTCAAGATCTTAAATGAATATAATATTGTTCACAGCCATTAAATTGTAGAAGGAAAAACATGTATTAATTAATCAAAAGAAGTTATCATACCTCACAGGAGGTAAGCAATTCATTTTGATTGTTCTGGTTTGAAGTTGAGAAAAGTTGCCAATTTGAGTAGTGAGTAGTACGGAAATTGAATCACAATTTAAACCCACATCCCACGATTAAAAATTCCTGAATTTATGGGGATTATAACCGACAATAACTGAAATTTTGAGTTTATGAATTTATGAAAATTCTGAAGTTGTGTAGTCTGTCCACGTCCAAGTATGAACGTGGTGTACTAGATTTATGGCGTCAGTTATAAATTCAGATGTGAGGAAGAAACTATGTACATTTCAGTCACGAACATTTTAATATGGACGTCAACAATTTTAGTGACTTTCCTAAGGACTAATTTTCAAACATTAACTCTCACATGATGAAGGGTAGTTTATAAGATTTATACAGATATGGAAGTCTGATCTGAGGAAAAAGTTTTCTGCCAACCCAGACTTCGTAATACGGATTGCAAGTCTGGAACAATTTTATGTACGTTCAAATATGTAGGCTGAGGAACTCTTCCCACGCCGTCCGTTGTGAATACAGATTTCTAAGTCTGAAGTTGGTTCCAGATGTAAGATGGTGGTTATAAGTTCGGAGGCAAGAAACTGACTCTGTACATTCCAGACTTGAACATTTTGGTATGGAGTTTAACAACTTCATGGCTTTCCTAAGGGTTAATTTACAAATATTGACTGTCACATAACAAAAGATAGTGTATAAGCTCTATACAGATATGGAAGTATCGCTTGGGGGAAATTCTTTTATCCTACCGAGTCTTTGTAATTCAGATGTACTAAGTATGAAAATGCAAGGATCAAAGTTCCAGATCTGGGCACATTTAGACCTACAACTCTGAAGTGAAATTAAGAGTTAAACAACAAACTCTTGACGTTCAAGACTTTCAACACATTCCTTCGCCTAAAACGCACCTAAGACGGTTGTCAACCACGTGTTCGTATATGATACGACCAACCATTAACTTACATCGTAATGGTAATTAAACATTTTTATAAAATACGACGGTTTTAATTGGCATGCTAAATGAGTCCAATAAGTACTCTACACTTCCACGTGTCACTCTATAAACAAGCCTTTCGAGTTTTTTATTAAAATTTAAAACAAAATATATAGTCCATATATGTGAAGCGTCATCACTCCCACCTTCATTTTTCTCATACGAACTTACCTCTTGCAATCATAGAACACCAAAGCAATCCATCAATGGCTAACTCACAGTCCAACATCTAGAAAACAATCCATACCACCAAAACCTGCTTCGAACCCTCTTCTTCTTCTTCTGATTCTGACAATGAGGTCAACCAGCGTACTTCTATCCTGATTGGAAACATTGAAGTTGCTATCCAGGAACATGTCTCCCTTCCTTTAGGAAACCAATCTCCATCAGCTAAAACCAGATTCAATCATCCGGACCCGATTCCGGTGCCAAATGATGAACAGGTCACTGAAAAGCCTAAAGAACACAACCCTGAACCCGCTGAATCTCAAGGGGAAGTGGGAGATGCTCATGAATGCCAACCAGCACAGACTGCTGCTATGTCTGTAGCTATTGCAGAGCCTGATGTAAGTCAAACTATTTTACCGGAATCTGAATATGATGTCATTAAGGAAAACAACAGTGCCCTAAATCTGGACTCTGAAAAATTCAAACCCGAGCATCAAATTGTTATTGAGATGTTTAAAAGACATCCTCTGAAAAGGATGTTCACCAGAAGGTATGAAGTTCCTATTCAAAATCTTCAACAGTGGTGGAAGAATCTAACCTATGATGAGGAACAAAATGAGATTACTTCAACTGTAGGTGGATATGGTTTTTCCTGTCCCTTGAACTGATAAAGAAGATGCTCTTCCTACAAATAACAATGAAGTGTTGGGAAAATCAGATTTTGATGCCCTACCATCTCAAGAGAAGATGATTAAAGACTTGATCTCATTGGGATACAAATATCCCTTGCCAACACTAAGCAGTTTCAGGGGGAAAAATTTACCACATGTTTGGTACTGCTTGTTCTCCTGTATCAATCGATGTTTATCGCCTAAAGCTTCAAGGCTAGATCAAGCATCAAGGCCAACATTGATAATCTTCCATGGAATAGCTTTCAACATGCTTTATGATTATGCATCACTATTCATGGAAGAAATTAAAGCATACATTGCAAAGCCACCTAGGTACATACCATTTCAGAGATTCTTCCAACTTTGTGTGAAGGGGGCAATGCACTTATGACCAAACATTCCAGTAATAGAGGAGGAAGAGATGGCCCCACAATTTTACATGGATTCACTGAGGTTATCTACTCCTCTTTCTAATTTTAGAAATCATATGCCACTGCCGTTGGAATTGAGAGCATATATTAGGAACGATAATAGGGTACTTAGAGAATATTGCGCTTCTATGGGACTGCCAGAACCGACAAACCCTACCCAAGAAGCACTTCCACCTAGAAAGAGTGGTGAAGGGTCAATAGAAAAAAGTGTTGGGGAGGAGACACAGAGGGTTATGTCTCCTAAAAGTGTAGAGAGGGAAAATGTGAATGAGAGACAGGGTAGAAGAGATAAAAAAGAGAGCATTTAGAGAGAACATGGTCAAAAAAAGAAGAGGACCCTGCCCCATCCCCAAAAAGACGGGCACCCACATCTGCTACCTCTCCACATTCTCTAGTGGAAGGTATTGAAAAAGGCATTGAGCCCATGCCGATACCCATATCAACCCTACCCACCCACTCATCACCTTCTCAAAAGGGCGATGTTTCACTAAACATTTTGAGACAACCAACAGATAAACCATTAGCTCCTCAGTTGGAGGAAGCTAATGTTGAAATTAAGGAACACTTGTCTCATCCTCATCATTCTTTTGCTCACATTGAGTCAGGAAGTCCATCCCATATTGAGCTAAATGCAGAACTAGAAACTGCTAATCTTCCTTTCACCAACACACGTTTTCATGACGTACCTGTTCAGGTTGTTTATCAACCTACCTTAACACCTATAGACATTCCTTCTACGGATGGTCAAGGATTGGGTGGAAGTCCTGGTGGAATGAACATCAAAAAAATTCCACTTCCAAGTACATCTGTTGTACATGATGCGTTTGTCACATCAACAGGCCAACCCACACCTGCAGTTGGATTGCAAGCAGGATCATTTGTTGATCCTGGTTTCCTATCAACGATTGTCGCACAGATGGAGTGTAACAACTTCAATGTCTTTTGTAAGAGTGAATTTGCAAAGATTCACTCTAAAATTAATGAATTGACAGTTGTAAATGAAATAAGAAGTTTACACGAGACGATGACGTCAATAGAGGAAGCAATTGTGGAAAAAATTGATGGGCATGACAGTTCTGTCCTTCTAACAGAAAACGAATTGAAGGGTGTGAAGAATATCGCAGAAAGCAGCCAAACAACTCTCCACAACTTGGAATCAAACTCTGTGACGAAAGAAGACTTCAAAGTATTTAAGAGCTGTATCCTAAAAAACGTTGACATTTTGTCTCATAAGATGATTGAGATACAAGCTAAGAACCAAGCTGCCATTTTTAGTCAACTATATACCCTTAGGCAGTCTCAAATAGATGACATCAATACACAAGACATAACCGAAAATCCAATCCAACCTCTAACTGATCCATTCGCTTCAAAAAGAAATCCCATTCCTGCCATTCGCAAAGCCTACATGCCTCATACCGAAGATTTTGCCACAACTGCTCAACTAAATGAAATGAAGGAAGATTTGGCGGATTTAAGGTACATGGCAGTGTTGATACGTAGAGATATTCAACAAATGGGTTGCAAGAAAGAAACTGAGTCATCTAAAAGGAAGCATGATGAAGATGATGACTCTGATGATGAAGCTGGCTATAATAATAAAAACAGGGGTAAGAGAATAAGGCAAGAAGAGGAAACAATACTGGGAATGACATCTAATGCAAATACATCAATTAAAGAGAACATTGAAGAGGGAAATAGGGGTGAAAACATAATGAATGTGGATATTACTGAAGCAGGCTGTAATGAGACGGAGAAGATGAAAACAGAGGAAATTGACACCATCACCATTCCTAGTTCAGATGGGGACTTTAAAAACCCAAATGATGAGGTAGAACCCATACATGAGCATATTTTTTAAAACTCATGTCTTGCAATCATTCTTTTCACACCTTTTGATTCATTAATTCATGAAAAATTATTTACTCCCTCGACCAATCAACCTCTGGAGGAAAAACAAGAAACAGCAGCCGAATCAGCCGAGTCAACTGGTTCTGTGGACTCGAAAAATGGTTATTCATAATCCTGATGGAACTTTCAGCTCTTTTTAAGTCTTACAACCACATGTTCAGAATAGACAATGAGGAGGAAGTCATGCTGGAACATGAAATTGATGGGAATTGGCCTGGAGAAATGCAGATGATGTACTCCGAAATGATAAGCAGACTAAGGAGAAACGATTCAAAGACAAATATAAACAGCCAATTATTGAATTCCGTAATTTCCATGCTGCTGTGGATTACTTGGATTTAGAAATAATGAGAGTAGACAATCGTGTATATCAGATCTCTAGTGCTGATTTTCCAAGGCTGAAGTTAGAAGATCAATTTTTCCTCCTGAAGTATTTTGAACAAGCAGACCTTTCCTGGGCTTAAGTGGGAATAAGAAGGTCAATAGGGATTTACATCAAAAACTTGGGTTTATGAGGATGTGTATCCATTATCGGGAACTGAATAAATTGACAATAAAGAACAAATATCCTTTGCCAAGGATTGATAACTTGTTTGATTAATTGATGGGAGCCAGTTACTTCTCAAAGATTGATTTATGATCATGCTATCATCAGCTCAATGTTAAAGAAGAAGATATTGCAAAAACAACTTTCCGAACCAGGTACGGACACCATGAATTCTTAGTTATGCCATTCGGTTTAACTAACGCACCTGCAGCTTTTATGGATTTAATGAATCGAGTATGCAAAGAATATCTTAATAAATTCGTTATTGTATTTATCGATAATATTGTCATATACTCTAAAACTAAAGAAGAGCATGCAGAACATCTTCGGTTGATACTCAAACTTTTGAAAAGAGAAAAGTTGTACGCAAAACTATCAAAATGTGAATTTTGGTTGAGGGAAGTTCAATTCCTTGGGCATGTCATATAAGAGGCAGGGGTAAAAGTGGATCCAACAAAGATCGAGCCAGTTGAAAAATGGGAGATACCAAAGACTCATTCTGAAGTCCGAAGCTTTTTGGGATTGGCAGGCTATTACTGTAACTTATTCAAGATTTTTCCAAAATAGCCGTGCCATTGACCAAATTAAATCGGAAGAACATTAAATTTCAGTCGAAGGAAGAACAACAAAAAGCTTTCCAGTTATTGAAAGATCATCTTTGCAGTGCCCCGAGACTATCCTTACCTGATGGAACAGAAAATATCGTGGTATACAGCAACGCTTCAAAGCTAGGTTTGGGCTGCGTTTTGATGCAAAGAAGAAAATTTATATCGTATGCATCCCGACAATTGAAGGATCATGAAAAGCAATACCCGACTCATGATGTGGAATTGGCAGTAGTGGTTTTTGCATTAAAAATATGAAGACATTATCTTCTGGGAACCAAATGCTAGATTTACACCAATCACAAGAGTTTGCAACATTTGTTTAATCAGAATGAATTAAATATACGACAACATCGATGGATTGAAGTCGTTAGTGATTATGATTGTGAAATCCTCTACCACCCGGGAAAAGCAACGTGGTAGCCGACGCCTTAAGCGGAAAAGAAAGAAGTGGAACTATCAAAGCCGTGGCAATGAAGATAAACTTAACTCCCGATCTTCATCAAGAGATTTTAAAATGTCAGAAAGAGGCTATTAAAGAAGAGCATATGAAGTCATAAAAAGTAGGTAAAATGATTTCCATCATGGAACCGAATAATGAATGAATTTTATGCTTCCAAGGACGGATTTGGGTACCATGATACGGGAATACGCGGGAAACCATTCTGAATGAAAGTCACAAGTCTCGCTACTCAATTCATCCAGGTACCAATAAAATGTATAAAGATTTGAAATCATTTTATTGGTGGCCAGGATTAAAAAGAGATATAGCAAAATACGTGGAATGATGCTTAACTTGTCTGCAAGTTAAGATCGAACACTAGAGACCTTATGGAAATCTACAATCCTTGGAAATTCCAGTTTGGAAATAGGATCACATTACGATGGACTTTGTC